GGCCCCAGCGCGCGTGCGCGCTACCGCCTCCGCGTCCTGGCGCTGCAGCACCGCGCAAAACGCGGAAACGGATCGTGGCCCGGCAAGGGAGGGACGGTGAGCGGCAAAGTCCGGAGTGGATTCAGCTCCAGCGACTCAGTGCGCAATAGCGGAGCCGTGAACGCGCGCGCATCTCCGAGGTAGAAATTTCCACCGCCTGCCTGTTCAACAGGGAAGGCCAGCACAAAGGATGAGTTCAACTCTGACAGACCCCAGTAACTGCCACCCCCTCCGCAATTGCTCCCTTTCTCTGAGCCCACAGACCCAGAGGCAGGGCTGGGAGGGCGTGCACCAGACTCACCTCCACCAGAGCAGCCCCCTAGGATTGACTCTTTAGGAATGTGCTTGCTAACTCTTTATGTCTATATAGGATTGACTACTGTTTGTTTGGACCTAATGGGATTTATTAATGAGCTGGGGGTGAAGTTCAATGGTATGAGCAAGGCTCTGGGCTCTATCCCCAGCGGGGCCAAAAATGTTAAAAAATGTTTTATTCATTAAGAATTTTCTCATAACAGAAGAAACAGCCACAGTAAAAATAATAAATTAATTTTAAAATGAATTAATTAATTTAAAAATAAGTCGTGAGCCAAAAATTGTTGCAAAAAATAAAGTCTATTAAATATAATTAACAAGGGGTTGGGTGTAGCTCATTGGTAGAGCACTTGCCTGGCATGATTAAGGTCCTGGGCTAAATCCCTCACATTGCACAATAAATAAATAGCAAAACAAAACGTTTATGCAGAGTTTTTCTGGATGTTGTTGGTCCTTCCACATAATATAGAGAGGAGTCAGGACCAGGGTTTTCCCTGAAGAGTCTGAGAATAAAGAGAAGGTAGTTGGAGGAGCTTGAGAATGTGGGTGGAGTCTCAGCTCCAATATCCAACTCCCAAACTCTAAGCAGGATCCCAGGAGACAAGACTTCAGCTTTCCCTCAACTCTAAAGGAGCAAATGCTGAGAGGATAAGCCCGGTGGTGCAGTCACCTGTCAAGAACACAAATAGATTTCAAGATGGTAATTATCATGCAGGAACACCCAGCCCCCAAGAGTGTTCTAGAAGAAAGATTTCCCATTGAGGTGTTTGAGAGGTGTCTAGAAGGGGAAGTCATTGAAGCTGAGTGCTGAAGTACCAGGCCTTGCAGAGAGGGACTGGAAAGCCTGGAGAGGGCCCAGGCAGAGGGGACAAAGGAGCCCACACATCATTACTTTCTTTCTTTCTTTTTTTTTTTTTTTTTTTTTGTGTGTGTGTGGTGCTGGGGATTGAACCCAGGCCCTGTGCACATGGGGCAAGCACAAGCTATATCCCAATTGTATTCAATTGCAAACTTTTTTTTTTTTGTACTGTGGGTTTAGCCCAGGGACCCTCTACCACTGAGCTACATCAAGACAGGGTCTCACTAAGCTGCCTAGGCTGGCCATGAACTTACAGTCCTTCTTCAGCCTCCCAAATCACTGTAATTACACACACGTGCCACTGCACCTTGCTCAGTTGCAAACATTTAACACTTGGAATATTTTGTATAAAAGCCCAGATTTCCAATTCTCTTGAAAAATCAGAGGCTGTGACAGCACTAGACAGGCCTGGGGTCTGAACATGCCCTCACTTTGGCCATGGCACTCCACCTCCTTGACCTCTGTGGCACTTGACTCATCATCCACCCCCACACACCAGCCTTAGCCAGGACTTAAATGCAAGATCCCCAGCATCATGCCCCATTCTCCAGGAGGCTTAGCATGTCTTGAAATGAATGGGTAATGGCCATGAGTGTTGGGGACAGGTTTGGGAAACTATGGGAGTGCTGACGGCACACCTGTTCCTGTCTCTGGGCAGGTTACAGCATCAAGTGTGAGCATATAAGGAGGGCGTCCTCAAAGAGGAGCTGCTCCTAGCCTGCAAGGGTGGCATGGGTGCCTGAGTGCTGGTGACAGTATAGGCACGTGTCATGGGTGAGTGTGAGGCACAGATCTGGCTGGAAGGGAGTAGATGCAAGATTGGCCTTGGGATCCTTGTCCAGTCTGGGGTCTCAACTTCTAGGCTCAGGTCCTCCCAGCACCCCACACCTGATCCCTGGGTGACAGAGGACTCTTTGGGGTGGGGCCAGGGCACAGTGGACACACCAACTTGCATGCCTGCTTTGCAAACCAAGACCGCGTGGTACACCCATGCTACTGGATGGTGTCAGGTGCGTGGGTGCAGAGCTGGAGTGATGTGGCTTCCTCAGCCCTTCCCCAGGTGGGCGAAGGGGTGGTGTTGGGGCCTCACCCACCCCTGTCACCTCTCCCTTCATTCTGCCACTACCCTGCCTCTCCTGTGTTCTCCTCTCCCACTTCCTCCTCTCCGTGTGCCTCAGTCTTCTGACAGAAGAAATGGGTTGAGCCCCCAAGGAAGCTATCTAAGGAGGGAAGGGGAGATCCTGGGGTAGGTTCTACCCACTTTCCACCCCAAACCAGGTGGGCTCCAGTCAGGTTCTGGGAGAGGACTGAGTGGCTCTGTGACACCAAGGCCCATTACTACTGCTGCTGCTGCTGCTGCTGCTGCTGCCTGGGTGCCTCAGCCACCTCTCCCACCCCTCCCTCTTCCCCTCAGCTACCCCTGTGAGTAGGAGGGAGGTGCAGTTCCCAGACCCTACCCCTCAGGGCTGTGTTACTTGGTTTTTAAATGACTGGTTGGGATAGAACCCATAAGAAATAAAAACTTCAGTGGAAAAAAAATAATGATAATAAAAAATAAAAGTTAAACAAACTAGAACAATAATCTCAAAGCCCATCAATTAATGAATGGATAACAAAATGTGACACATTCATATAATGGATTTACCCAACCGAAAAAAGGGATGACGTTCTGACTCATCCTACAACACGGATAAATGTTGAAAACACTACGTCTGAAGTGAACTTTACCCATGCTTTCCTCTGGGGAAAGCAGTTTATTGAATTTTAGGAGCTCATTCTCTAAAACCAAATAACCTTTTGGATATTAAATATGTTGTAAATGTTTGCCCTACTTTGGTATTTGTCTTTCAGCTTTAAAGCATATTTTCCGCATAGGACTTTTTAGTTTTAGCCAAATAATGTCAGCCTTTTCTTCTGCAGGGATCTTTGGTGTTATGCTTAGTTTGGAAAATCATTAACAAAAGAAAAAAAAAAAAAAAGCATTGCATTGTGTTTCGAGTTCAAGAAAAACTACCAGGGCATACTTTTTCCTTTTACATCTGCTGCACTAGAAAATAACTGAGCACCGTGATCAAACATTCAGCTTTCAGTCTTTGAATGCCATACCTCTTTCAGAATGCATAATAATAGTATGCTTATTATGCTATTAGTCCTGGATTTTCCTAAACCTTTTCTCTTTTAAAATATTCATTAGTTATAAGGTACACTTTTAAAATATTCATTGATTCCTTATCCTGACCATTGATTGGATCAGAAGTAACTTATACAATGTTTGAAGCCAACCCAGAAAAGGCCTTACCTAATCGGGACAACAGGAGCAAATGACCCAGCTCCATCCTCACACAAAGACCTAAAGAGCAGCAATGACAGCCACCGGTTCTGTGGTGGCTTAGCAGGATGTGGTGGTGCACACCTGTAATCCCAATGGCTCAGGAGGCTGAGGCAGGAGAATCATGAGTTCAAGGCTAGTCTCACCAATTTAGTGAGGTCCTATGCAATTTAGCCAGACCCTGTCTCTAAATATAATATTAAAAAAAAAAAAAGACAGGGTGCTGGGGGTGTGGCTCAGTGATTAAGTGCCTCGGGGTTAAAAAAAAAAAAAAAAAAAAGCTGATTTCCCTCTATTGAAGAACTCATGTCCAAACTTAGGTTTCCTGTAGAAAAAAGGTCTAAATGTCTTGCTTCTCCATGAGACCTCACAGAGACAGTCCTTGATTTTACAAGCCTTTTCTCTGATGGCCTCACTTCCCCCAGGCCCAGTCCAAGGGAGGGAACCCAGGACTTCACACACGCTAGGCATTCCCAGCCTTTTGTTTTTTTGAGACAGAGTTTTGACTCAATTGCCCAAGGTAGCCTTGAACTTGCGTTCCTCCTGCCTCAGCCTCCTAGGCAACTGGGATCACAGGTGTGCGCCACTATCTTAGCCCTGATGGCCTCATTTCTTTTAGCTTCTCATCTAAATTATTCACGGATTCACTCCAGACTACTTGTTTATACAGAGAAAACATTTCTCATATGCCTAATCTTCAAGTCAAAAGTACAGCAAGAATAGGAAGAAAGGGAAAGGAAAGAGGGAATGTCAAAGCAGACAGATTACTTTGTTGGTTGGAGGCTCCGTCCCTTAAGCCACTCACTTGATAGGTACTCTGTTACTCTGCCCTCTCCTATTTCCAGAGATTCTTCCCCAGAACCAAGAACTCTCCACCTCTATGACATCCCCTTTGTTGCTAAATTCCACTCGCCCCAGAGGCGCCAAGGCACCCCGAGAAGGAAGCTGTAGTGCT